ATTTCCAAGTGAAAACATAATTAACGACGATCTGAAATGATTACGAAAAATGGGCCGTAAGGTTTATTCAGATACTGAATCAGTTAGAAGCAAGGTAGGACTTCTCGCATGAGTGCATGGGATTATGTTACCACACCACAGCATTACAACGCGATACCAGACGATTAAAAGTAGTAACAGAATCATCGGCATCGAAAATGCAATTCAAGAAGAAAATATAGATTAGTGGGATAAAAAAACAAATTTATAGGGTAATTTAGAAATTTGTGATCTACGCGGAGACATCAAGTGAATGCACCCATGCCACTGTAAGTGATTCTGAGCCATGTCACCCAAAGCATCTAACTACTGCTCATGAAATTCATGAGGATCCTAATCAGGTGGCCTGCACCTTTCAACATGGTCCCATCTAACAGTCATTGAATTCGTAAACCAATGCTACATGTTAACTTAGCACCACTCGTTTTATTCCAACATACTCCTACACCAGATGTCCTAGTGTACTGAGGTACGAAAAGGGTGAGGACAAGTAATAAAAGTTGAAAACACCTTCGTCAAAGAAGATTCATTGACCCACCAACCTATTTGGCATCTTTACCTGGTATTGGCGTGTAAGCTTATCATTGTCGACTCTGTGACCTCAATATACACAAGAAATGCTTCGAAAGTATCTACGATCAAAAAATAATAGCTAAAGAATATCCTCTGTTTATGAAAAAACATATTCCAAAGCCATGAACCAAAACATAGTACACTGGTATGCAGTATACTCGTCCATTGCTAGTCACAAGTGGTGTAATTTCTCGAAATTTCCATAACTTTCTTCAATTAAGGATAAACAATTTAGAGAAAAAAATTGATACTTTGTATCTTATAACTTATTGACATTTATTAATATTTAGTTTGTAATATTTAAACATACTAGAAGTAATAATTATCAGTGCATTTATTAAACAAGTCATTTGGACTAATATAAATTCAAGAATAACCGAAAATTATAAAATACACCATCTTTATTATTTCCACCTGGTTTCTAATCGTTTCAGTTGTGGAGTCATTTAGAAATCTAATTAAGCCACGTAATAACTAACTAGATCTTAAAAACTGAATGGAACACTTCAAATATTAACACCAGTGAACTTATGCTACTGTTAAGGTTAGATAGCTAGCCAGTGGTAATATGAATAACATAAATTGTCAATAGTTGTCAATGAAGAGCGTGGATTGCCAAAAAAACGAGTTGAATATTTAAAATTTATCATTAGGATTAAAATAATTGTTCAAAGTTTCTTAAAATGCGAAACATTATTGTCAGTTATAAGCATGTGATTAAAACTGATTAAAGTCATTTTCTGTTAGATATGATGATGATAATTAAATTATTTACTATCTGTTAACAAAAAAATAAAGATTAGAACAAACAGAAACTGCTGTTCTCTTTTTTAATCAACTACATACGTGTAAACATAATTTTGAAAAAAAGGAAATGTAAAATTAATGAATCCCCACAACGCAACAATACTTTACCTATGTCGCAACCATCAATAACCTAAGCAACAACAACACGTAGACTAGTAGGCAGTTACATAATCAACCCATTTCATACATTTATAACCAACAAAAGTTATAATGATAAATAAGACAAGAAGACTAGTTGCTTAAAAATCTTAATTTACAGATCTTGGACAACATATATGCATGTGATGCATTTTGGAAGCTGATCACATGATTACAGGTGGAGTAGTTCACTACAGTGCTAGTGCAAATACACATTCCTTTCGAAATTTTGTAATCAGTTTATGAAGGTTAAACATTTTTTACCCCTTTTTCAGAAGTAAGAAGTAAAACAACACAGCGGGCATTCTCTCCTCCATTTCTCCTGATTTTTTTAAAAACAAAATTAAAATTCACCTACAATTCAATCGTTCATCCAATGGATAATTTACGTGTTCTGAACAGCTGTGAAAATTTCACCATTATATATATATATATATATATATATATATATATATATATATATTCTATGTAAAGAAAATGATGTTGGTAGAACGAAACGAGATAGGATATTTAATATGTATAAGCAGAATTGTAGCCATACCTTCAACAATGAAAGTGATCTGTCATGGATTGGAAGCGATTTGAAACAACCTACTAATTTTCAAATAAAAACAGTACTATTTTAATCACAATGTATTAGATTATTAACAGGTCTCTTTTCCCTATATAAAGAGATTTTTGTTGTCGTTAAGTTAATATAAACTAATATTAAGATTTTAATCATTATATTAATAGTATTTTGAATTTACAGATTCACTATTCAACACAAATTTATTTACTTAATATTACTGTGGAGTTGTTAAAATGACTTCAATTCAGCTCATCTGCTTTCTGGAACCTAATAGGAATGCGATATCTGGAACTATTTTAAAACAGTAAGCTACTTGCATAATTCATTGTGATATCTCCCCACTAAGAAGATTAAAGATGTTGTAAAGAAGACGCTCTGAAAAACGAAATAAATTTGTATATAAATAAATAGACGGCTTCATCAACTAGATCTTAATGATTTAGATACTAAAATTTGAACGTATATATTCATACTACACACATTTCAATTCTTCATATCTCATAGATTTTAAAAAACATCCTTTTAAATATAAGATAAGGTAAGCATAAACATCTCTTAATTTTTAAAAAGTGCCGATACATTACACAGTTTTGATAAACGTTATCCTATCTTTGTATTATTCAAACTTATCAATGGAGCTGTTTTGAAAACGCCGCTTAATTTATACTCGCACGATTAAAAAACCATTACAAATTATTTATTGCCGTAGATTTAAAAAGATTTCATTTCAAAATAATCAACCCAAGTAGCATAAACTAATTTAGACAGAATAAATCAGAGTCAAGTTTGTAGTTCAGACAATTATAGATCAATCACTAGATACGTCTTTAAACAATTTTTTTTCTTTGCATTAAAAAAATTTGAATATGTTAATTAGTTTACATAAAATATCGGAGAGTAAGGAGCCTGAAACAAATTTAGAGATTTCTCTCACTATAACTTGCTTTCGATTACTTTGATAATTTGGTTTAACAGAACATTTTGGGGAGTCTGTTAATAAGAAATATTACCGATCCTGCTGATTATACAAATACAAAATCGCTTTCATAATCATAATTGAATAAAACCTTAGTGTATTATACTCATCAACAAGTTTAAGATGATTAACATGAATTCGGCCAATTATTCAAATTCCCGCCAATAAATCTAGTCTATGTTATATTTAAAATTTATTTCGATTCCGGTCGTAGGTCGTCGAACAGTAATGATTGTATTAATAAACAGCACTTCAAAACTGACATGAGAATCAGAAGTTAAAAAGAACTATTAGAAAATTCCCTTCACTAGAATTAACGCATCCCACTAGTGGCAGATATTTTTTACGAAAAGGTGATGCCATTTTCTCACTTCGTTTGAATGTCCGAAATTCTCACAAAGGAGAAGTGATAGGTCAAAGGGGTTTAGAAACATTACATCATGTAGAAGTCAAATATACCACTTGCTATTTTAAGGCCAAAGTGATAAATCCGAGGGAATCGCGCTACTAAAGCAATTGGATCGTGTATCTGGTACGGTCATAGGCTATCTACTGTGACTTAAGTCAGTGAGAAATATGACTTCCATACATTAAATGATTCGGTTTTAGTAACTAAACCTTCCTAATTATTTCAGACTCTTCATTTGCATAGTAGATTTTGTCAGCCGTTAATAAGGTGTATCACAACTGAATCAAACCACAGATTATGCAAATCACCAAAAATATTTCTTTAAAATACGAAACGAACGAAAAATTTGTTCACTGATTAACACAAGCGTTCCTTTAAACTTAACACACTCATCTAACTATCTTATATACGTTTATCCAGATGGACATTAAAGAAATTGTAATTAAATGTAGTGCTATAACCCGATAAATGTACAAGCGAATGTTTTGAAGAAATATACACAAACAAACTGACCGTGAAAATAACACAAATTTATTGGAATACCAGAGATAACATGAAGTTCAGCTTATTGCACCTGTTAAAGTGACCTACCGTTTCAGGTTCTTTGTAAGATCTAAAATTTGCTGAAACACTACTACACTTTGTTACAGCATAATATAATTTTGCTTTTGCGTTTCTAACTGATTGTTTTGCTAATTTGAGGTATTTCTTCTTATGACACTGTCAGTACAAAATCTACACAAAAATATAACACAAACTACATAAATCTCCACACATCGTTATACTAGTGAAGCATTATACAACATGTGTTGTTTTCTGAATTTGGTATTTAGTCAGTCATTAATAAAACAGGCCTCATTAAATATTAAACTAAAGGGGATATTAGCATCTCCTTATACTTAACTAATCCTGAATTTCTGACGATAATAATAGTGATAATAAATAGTTTCAATGTTGTTTTGTTTTAACTGATAATTTGACTAATAAATGCATTGATGTGATCCCGAGGATGATTTTAATGAGCAAATTCAACAAGTAAATAAATACAAACTTCATATTTACTGGATTTATTATAACTACTACAATAGTTGGTTCTTACTTATGTTTTGGAAGCAACCCAGATAAATAGATTTATAAAAAGTGAATTAAAGATGATCAGATTAAACCACTCGCACTTTCTCTTAATTATCTATCAGTATATTTATGTCAATTACTCTGACGGAAAACATTTTAAATTATTTTTTATTCCAGAAAATAAGGAAAATTCCAAGTATATTCCCAACTAAATATTGCAATATTTACACACTACATGAAACTTGTCAATTTTTTGATAAATAGAGCTATTTAATAATAATTATCGATTTCAAATGATACTTCATTCTTTAAAGATTATGCAAACAATTCATTTTAGCAAAATACTTTTTAGAACTGTTAAGCATTAAAAATGAATTTTATGAATGCATTTTAAAATACAATTATTATCCCACCTCATAGAAGTGTTCCAATAAATGAGCCTTCCAAAGTGGCCGATCAAGTCTTAAAGGTAGACTACTCAGTTCATTAAGAAGCACCTCCAAGTTAATCATCTTGGGGTTTGCCGAGTGCTTATCTTCCCACTTTGATCCATATGGTCGTGATGAATTAGTTTCTGATTTTGTCTGAATCGAAGACAATCGGACTACATGTTCTTCAAGTTGAAATGCCATACATTCTCTCCATGCATACCCAGTTGATAGATATGTTAGACATTGCGTCAAGCGTGATCTAGCATCCGAAGGTGGGATATATGAGCTTTCACAGCGTCTTCTGCTAGTATCTGAACATCCTTTGTCTGTTAAACAAGAACCCCTTGGAGATGAAGCAAATGATGAACAATCAGAAGTCCGAGAGAGTAAACGGTTACTGATCAACTCACGCAAGCGCGCTAATTTTAATCCCGGTGCACCAAATCTCAAGCATATAACCACTGTAGGTGAATGGCCTGAACAATACAAAGTAGTAAAGTTAGTTCCATTCCAATCAAGTTCATATTTATATTCAAGAGCTGGAAGCCATCGAAGTTCAGCAGATGAAAGAGCTTTCAATGAGTTGCTATAACGATTTTCTAATTGTTTATCAGTAAAACAATGACATCTTTGATTAGAATTCAAGCTGACTGACAAACGTGATATTATTGATTCAATTATAGGATTTGTATTATTAGAAATAAGAAATCCTCCGCATTTACAACATGTGGTATATTGGAAGACATTAGCAATCCAGATGCCAGTACGTCTTACAAGGCAAGCAATCAGGCAAAATGGTAGAAAGATAATAGAAAATATACTAGTAACCAATAGTGATAAACTTAAAAAGGCAACATTGGCAAGGCAGACATAAACAGGACTACGTTCGGTAGGATGAGCAATAGGAAGGAAAGCACTCGGGTTAACTGTCGATACACTTGGTTTTTCCTCACTTGATTCCACACTCCCTAAAATAATTAAATTTCAGAAAAGCATATTTAAAATACATTTTCAACAGTTATAAAGTAAAGCTTTTTGATCCTTATTTAGAAAATCTAAACGAAATTGACTAGATAAGAATATTCTGTACCGTTTGACTGGACACTTACCAACATTTTCCAAAATATGGCAGTAAAAATCTTATGTTCATGCAAATTCATTGTATCGATTGTAAACTATAAAAAGACTATTTTAGTTAAGGATAGTGCACAACAATTTAGTGAGTAGAACTTAATAAGAATAAAGACTCATTAATGAACTTATGTTCAGTCAATTAAAATGTTTATTGAATGCGTCATTTGGAGTAAAAGATAGTATACAACAATTATCAAGATATCTCTCAGTCGCCATAATTATGATATAAATGGACCCATCATAATTCGATGGGGAAAATTAAGGACTCTCGTTAGTGTAGATGGTAATTAACCAAGTGCAATCGTAACTAATAATAAAACATTTATGCGTCTCTCTCATTTATAATAAATTTGCGTGACATTATTTTTGTGGGAAAATAATCATAATAAATCCGAATAATTGGTCAAACTTGACTTAATACGCTCATTTTAAACTGTTTAATGTACAAATATTTTTTTGTTAATAGTTAAGATTTTTATTTAAACAAGTAGAATAGACAAGATAAATTTGGTGGGCTTAATTAACTCTTTTGAGTAAACTGGTAACTAACGTATCGGTTTACAAGACTACCATCCCTTGTTTGATGTAGCTAAGTAGATTGAAAACTTTTTGCGGGAGTTTAATTGAATGGAATATAATGCGTAAAAAGTATCTATTTTATCTAGGGTTTTCAGCCATAAAAGTAATAGCTTTAAATCCACCATGAAATTGTGTTCTTAAAATAACACAAACTTAATTTAGGAAGGATTTGCGACTGAAAATATGCAAATTATAAATTACCTGTATGACTTTCTGAAGGTTCATTTTTAACTTCAATCCTTGATCGTAATTCTGAGGTAGATCTTGTAAGAACTGAACTTGAATTTGTAAGGCGTGTAGGAGCTCCACCATCACTAGCTTTACGAAGCCTTTGGCAATAATCCGGGCGAGTAGTTACTGGTCTTGTAGCAGTTGATTTTGATCTTGCTAAACGAGCTTTTAAAGGCACAAGTTGCGGACTAGGTGGTGGAGGAGGTAGAGGTGGGGGTTGGGGTGGGGAAAGAGTACGCCGCCCTCTTAGAGACATTGCGTTGAAGCCACTCACTCCAGGACGAGAAGTGGTTGAAATCCATACTGGGGTTTGATTTATATTGCTGCTCTTTGTCGGAACTGTTTGATGTGGATATACAATACCTTTTGTTCCAAAGTCAGCCCTTTGGAAGGGATATTCACATCCCCCAAGGGGTTGACGAGCAATCGTTGAACCCGTCGGTGTGGATAATTCTTTGATTACTCTTGGTTTTGACATAAAAGATGAATACTGATGTAAGATTTTTTAAAACGTCTCTGTTCGGTCGATAATGTGCAACATGGCATCAGATATATTTTTTTATGAATGCTGATTCTAGGTAAGGCACCTACGAAAAAAATCATTTGAAAAAATATAAGTGCTGAATAAAATATTCTTTTTACTGCTACAGCTTAACTAAAAGTGTATAATTGCTTGCTCATATCAATGTAGTACAGTATAGTGTTACGAAGTCAAAAATATTATCTAAATGTATTATGATGGTTTATAGGTTGAGCTTGTTACGCAATACTAAATGATCTGAGTTCGGTTTCTGGTTTCGCCGTTGGAAGTGCGCAGTCCTGGACAGTCCCACACGCATAAAACGGCCATCAAGTGCTTCTAGGTCATCCAACTTGGAACGGGTTGCAATATCAATTAAACGTTAGACTGAAAGACCATCAATATAAAAAATTCATGCACAAAAAGCATACTAGTAATGCAAGATTTTTGCAAAAGAAAAGATTGCTCCTAAATTAAAAAACTGACAAGTTTTTGTTTTCATTTACTCCGTAACGAGGAAAAACCTTGACAACCGTACAAAATACGAGTCACGCATTTGAATTCTATATTTTGATTAAACCGATACTATCGTCCACTTAGGCGAATTCAACAAACTTTATCAGTTGAAGAATTTTGTTGATTCTAATAAGAACACTAAATTATAGTGAGTGTTTGGTAAGGAAAAACACTTTGTCACTATGAATATTCTCCCGTGATATGTTTAAAAAAGCTGAAAATTCTCAATAATAAGGCTTATAGCCTTATAGTGGCTATGAATAAAAGATAGTTTTGGAACATTAACATTACATTCTGAAATCTAAAAAAGTTATCCTAACCACAATAAGATGGAATTGAATATAACTTAAACTCTTACAATGATTCGCTTTTTTTAAAACTGGCTTAGTTATCTGTTGCATTCGTTGTCATTCCTTGCACCTTTTGGGATGTGGAATATGGAGAAGTCTTATTTCTCTGACACCCTGTTGAAATTACAATATTTTCCTATCCATCAGTATTTTATAAACCCCTGTGTAGAATTCCACATTTAACTGTGCTTATCAAAGTGAAAAGCCAAATTCCTTCTTTTGCATTTAGAAAGCAATCCAATGTGATGGTCGTAGCAGATAGTCCTATAAGATATACACGCGCATAACACCCGGTGCATATAAAAGATTTTCGAGAACTATCTCATTATATGTTTGTTGGGCAGTTATAAAAGCTAGGGGTCTTTTCTTCTCAGTACAAAATACTCAAGGTATCAGTACTAGTGATCTTAATGCATGTGATGAAGAATGTACTACTGTGGTAAGCGCAACTATAGGAAGGATAACGAAAACTCCTACTACAAAGTGTGGTCTCAAAAGAGGCAAAAGAAACAAAAAAGTGAACTTTTATCAAATCTAGCGAACACTATAGTGTATACCTATGCAATATATTAACAAACAGTAACACAACAATATAAAGTATTTTCAAATAACAAAGAACCGTGATATGCATTACAGGTGGGCGTGGACCCAGTAATATGTAAAACTTTATGAATAAACATTTCAACATTCACATCCCAATAGCATCCTTGAAAAGGGAAGAAGAAACAGGAAGTATGTTGGAAATCACTAAGGATACATACATGACTCTAGTTACGTACGAAAACTAGACGACCATCTGGATTCCATGCTAGGCAGGCCTCAGAAAATGGTAGAATACTTTCGTCCTGAACTCTGAAGGAGAGTTAAAATAATTTACATTTCTTACATACTACTCAATCCAAAAACTATAGTAGCTAAACAAAATAATCTGGTTCAGTACTACAACAAAGCAAGGAACATTAAATTACGCTAACGTAAATCGTCGTATGTCTAATACACGTTATTAAGTGTAGTAAAATCCACTTTCATAACGACGAAAAAGAAACTTACCAAACTACCACACCAAAGCCCGGGATACTCAAAAAGACGCTCAAAGAGTATCCATAAAAAGAAATCTGATAGAGTAAAACAAATCATGAATTTTGTTTTTCTTCTCTAGATCAAATTTTAAAGTGCTCATTAATCTTTAGGAGTAGCTTTCTGTTAACGGAATATTATTTTTTTAACTTATCACTGTGAGCCATTTTCATAAATAATGGAGTAGGAATATCCACCTTGACCTGATATTAACATGTTACGTGACACCATATATTGTACATGAAGATTTTAAAATCCTTAACCAGACGCATTAAAATAAATCAACTAAAACTGGGATTTCTTGACCATACGAATTCTCTTTAAATACTACCTCTGTACATTGACTTCTGTGTCTTGTTTGCAAATAGCGGCAAAATCATCGTTGATCTTCGGCCTTTCAAGTCAAAGGAAATTCTGAGGAGCTTGTAATTGTACAAATCTCCAGGTTTACTTTGATTCCCTCGTACTTTCAACATGAGTCTTACTTCCAAAAGCAAACTACCCTCTCTATGAAAAACAATGTCGTCATATAGGTATCTAATACGGTCATCTAGTTGGAAAAACTTATAACCGACTCCCTAAGCAACTAAGTGCCCGTTTACCGCGTGCATTCTGATTTAGCGAATGATCAAGTAGATCCGCTGACCACTTGGAACGGAAGTACTTTTCTCCTCTAGTACAACCAATCGTTCCCCAAAATAACCTAAGCTAGAAGGTTTGCAAAGAACTGGAACTCAAAGGGATTGGGATTATAAACAAACCCCACTCAATTAAGCTGGAAGAAACCTGTTCAGTGAAAATGAATAACTAGAGAATAGGATCATGTTGTAAAATTTCCCTCATAATCCCTCGCATCATAAGAGATCACCAGTACAGTTTAGTACTAAAATACACGAAAAGAAAACATCTATCTAGAACTGAACATGAACGAGCACGAAAAAGAATTCGTACTGATACATACGCGTAGCTCCTTCCGAAGTGATAGTTGTGGCGCCTTGTGCAGGATATCTCAAACGTTAACAGAATAAATGGATTAGCAGACTTGAACAATGTTTGGCGTAAACATGTTTTGTTCATTCAATCTCCAGGAATTCTATTTGGCTCAATACTTTTTGGCAGGTTTATGCTAAATATTCAGCAGAAATACCTTAAATCCATTGAAAATTTATATTATAGACTTTTATGTGTTCCATGAACTTTGTGACATAGTTCATGTACCTGGCTGTAAAATATCTATTAAAAGTTGATTGTCATTATTTTTACCAAGCAAATAGTTCAGCGACATCCAGTCTGGTCGTTTCTTCTACCGCAATAACCTGTAGAAGACATTTAATGGTTACTATAAATCCGGATAAATCCTCAGTCAACTCAATGGCTGGATCTCAAGGGACAGAATGCCTATCTCTTCCTTAAGTTTCGTAAGTAATAAAGTTGGCTAATATGAAAGTCATCCAACAGTTATTTCTAAGATTTCTAGTTTATTTCTCTTCCCGTTCGGCTTCATAAATTTAATTATTAGAGTTCTGCCGTTTAAAAGTTGAGGTTTCTCTCTTATCAGTCGGACAAAATTCGACAGGGGAAAACGATTCGTCAGCTCTCCCAAATAAGGCTTGTAATTCAAACCTTAATATTTTTCTCCTAAAGTTAGAAACTACTCAAAATAATCAGTTTCATAATAACATTGACATTATAGTTGGCCGTATCAATTTCTAAAGGCACTCCGTCAAGTATCATAACCAAATCGCATCAAGATCAGACATTAGACGCTTTATCTTCGCTGCAGAACACATTTGAATATAAGTGTTCACTCCTTCTGCCCACAAATGCATGTGATTTGTTGTCTGGTCAACAAAGTCTTTTGTTTGTCTTCGGGAGATATTATTGACAAATACACTATGCCAGAATCTTCAGGTTATATCGTCAGATGTTAAGCAGTAAAAATTTGGTGTTGTTTTACAAGTTCCCTTGAAGATAATATTACTATTGTCCATTTACTGTCTTCAAACAATTATACTCGTAATAATAATAATGTTATGCTCAGATGGCAGTCTGTTACATGAGGCATTCAAGTTCACAGATAAGATCAAGTTGACATGGAAGATACGGTCTTTGCTGTGGCGGATTACTCAGTAAGTTTGACATCTTATAAGGTACATTGATCAAAAAAAGAATAGGGATGATGCTTTCCACATTTAAATGCAAATAATATTAGTAAGATCTGTGTTGTCAGTTTGATAGTTGGCGCGTTTCATGTAAGTTGCGTTGAGATGTGCAACTGATAGCTGGGAGTAAATTCATGTAAACTTGAAAGCTTTTATAAACAGTGAGCTTACATCCCTCTGGAACATCTGAGGCATTAATGATGGCGTAGGACAGTCACCCACTCATATGCGTTATTAGTGTCAAATCTTCAGGGAGCTGAAAAAAAGAGTAAGAAAAAAGGACGAGAAGAGATGCATATTGAAATTGAGTCATTTGTGGTGAAATAGTGATAGCATGAATACTTGGTCTGGTTCTCTTTTATTAATGTACTTTCGAAGCAAGAGCATTCTGATAGGTTAAAGAAAACAGGCGTAAGTATTGTATGGCTGGACAAAAAACTGCATAAATGGACGTGGTTCAAAAAGTGGCTGAAAGTTTAGGACTATGTGGAGTTTTCGAAAATAAAATCGGAAACAGTATTCTGATACAAAAATGATCAGCTCCCCTTTTTGTCGAAGCTATTTCAGCTCACTTTTTATTTTCATATATTTTACAGAATCATTAGCTGTTCTCGCTTTTAGCAAATTGTCAAGATTTGCTTGTAATAAGATTAATCAGTAAAACTGAAACCAAACACGATTTAATGGGGTACTTTGTATGCTAATTCGGCATAAGCTGAGCAGTAGCGCGTATCTAAACCAACTAGGCAGTTATTCTTCAGCCTAAATCTTAATTTTGATCTTACAAGATTATATGTGGCTTAGAGATAGTAAGAAAAAATAGAAAATCAAAGAATATGCAGGAGTATAAGATTGTAAATTTTCAGAGTGAGAAAATAAAACATTGAGTAACTCATAATAATTTAGGACATTATTAGCTTCTTATGACTGACCATAGATGATCAGCATCCACTAGATTAGTGAGCTATCTATCTACGTATAATAAAAAAACGTGACACCTGGGAAAAAACAAAATTTTAACCATCAGAGAGATTTGGAGTCTGAAAATGAGAAATGGAAGCTTAATGATATAACTTATAATAATGAGTAATGGGAGAGTGTAAACCATGTGTTCTTTCATTTGGTTATATTCATATTATTGAAAATGGGGTCCGTAACATTCATGATCGGTTTAAATATTGGGTGGTCTGCAATTAAGTGCCCCTTTGCCGGGTGGAAGTTCAAGGAACAGTTGATGTAGCTCTTTAGTGTCAAGTAATAGTGTTATTAAGCTTTTGAACTTGGTGATTCTGTCACAGTGACGCATAGGTATTGACAGCCTGTTCCACAATAAACTATACCTTACTGTGCAAAACTTACGACGCATCGGATTTGCTGTTTTACAGTAAGCTGTGTATAAGCATTGTTTCTGATTCTATAGACTGGGTCATGTATCATAGTTCGGCAGGAGGTTAGTAGTGCAAGTCCACATATAGCTTTGTGGAGAAATAGTAGATTGTTCCTTAGTAAACGATACCATAAAAATTCTAAGGAGAGTGTAAGATCCATTTTGAGTGTTTTGTGTGTGAAAATCCCTCTATGCATACACTTGCTGTTTATTTTTATCGACACCATTGGTTGTATATTTTGTTGGTCTTTTTCATTCCATTTTCAGTTGATAGCATTTGTATTTTATTATGGTTTTTATTTTTATTACGCTTTTACTAAGTTTCCATGTCTCTTCCTGAACTGCCTTCATGTTGTTTTAATTGATACTTATTCTTGGCAGTGGCCATATTGGTTTGTTCCTCCCTTTGATTGTGTTGCTTGTATTGACTGGAATCGTGCATTTTTTTATTGTGAATTGAAGCACACTTTCAGAATTGAAAACACTTGGTGTTATAAAGCAACCAAACATTATCTTTTGAACGAATCTGTGTGTGATCTATCTAGACGGGATAGAACAACATTTATTTGTTGCGATTGGTAATTTTCTAGCATCCTTTTTCAACTTTCTTATTTATTGTAATTTGGATTTGATTAATTGAACTATTGTTGATTGGATAGCTGGGTGGTTACATTTGTTTAAAACCGTCATTTTCCCCAATTGCTTTGTTTTGATTTCAAACGGGCAATGGCGCGTATCTAACCCACCTATACAGCTATTCTTCAATCCAAACCTAGTTTGGATCTTACAAAGATGTGTTTAAGTTTTACTTTGATGCACCAGAAAAGCCCTTGACTAGGAGAGGGATTCTATATGTAGTTTCTTCTCTGTTCGATCCTTTGCGTTTAATTGCTCCAGTCTGCCTTACGGCCAAACTTCTTTTGCAAAAGTTATGTAAATCCCAAATCGTTTGGGATCAGTCTCTTAACGAACCATACATGTCCACGTGGCCAAATTGGGTGAATTTTATGCGTCAGATAGGTCATGTTACGGTAGCTCGGTGGATCAAGAACAGAATTGACGAACCTGACGCAAAAGTAGAACTACATCTGTTCAGTGATGCCTCAGAGATTGCTTATGGAGCAGTTGCGTACGCACGAGTTAGTTATTTGAAGGAACCACCATACTGTATCTTGTTGTACAGCAAGTCTAGAGTAGCACCTATCAAACAAGTCACCATACCGAGGCTTGAGATGGCGGCAGCGGTGCTAAGAGTAAGGCTAAGTGAAGTCTTACGGAGGAGCCTGCCTAATTTTTTCTGCAAAGTGAACGTCCATACGGATTCCATGATAGTGTTATACTACATTAAGAATACCGAAAACCGATATAGCACCTACATAGCCAATCGCCTCGTTGTTGAACAATGGAGTTATGTAAAGTCGTCACAGAATCCAGCTGATTGGACCTCGAGATGTATGCGAAAAATGACCGATCTTGA